GCAACCTCACCGGCGTAAACAGGAGTGTTCTCCGTGACAATATTTTAATAAACAACCATGTTAAGAATATCCAATTATCAAGCCTGTGTCTTCCTCTCTTATATGTCACTTCGACATTTGTTTTAAAATGTTACTCACTAGGTCTTGACCAGAGAGGTTTTCAAGTGGAGGCATACGTAAGTTTTATTACATTGGCAATTTTTTGTTGGGTTTTGGTTTTTAGTACCATCTCCTTAATTTGAATGTAAAATTATAAAAATGCAAACTCTAATTTAGCTATAAAATAACATTTATTTTCTTGTTTAAGGTCTAGCAACAAGAATGTTAATGGATATGACTCAGTGTTAGTCACAAGGAAATAAGTATTAGTAATAGCGAACACAGAATGAAATGAGCAGATGCTAATTTACCTTCTCTGGCGAAGCTTGCATAGCACAAAATCATAATCTTGAAGCAAGTTAGACCATCTGTGCTATTTTTTTCAGGTGAGCCAAGTTTGATGACAAAACATTCTCTATACACAAAAGTTTTTCCATTTTTCATTTAAATAAGAATGTATAATTCCTGCAATAGAAGATTCAAAAGTTATTTTCTTATGCTGTATTGTTATTTTTAGTTTGAACCTGAATAAAGTATATAGCATGGAAATGATAATTTCAAAGAAAATCTTTCTAAAACTTACATCTCTCTGTACCCCACTTCCCTGCCAATCCACTCAAGCTGTTCTGGGAAAGAAGAGATACTGAAAAGATACATTTGAATGGGATTTTCTCAGAAAATGCCTTTGTTCTAATGAAGATGAGTCATGGTACAAATGTGATGAAAGGCCACTAGAGAAATGCTTGATAACTTCATTTGTCTTGAAGAATCTAGTTAGGAAAATTTAATATTCTCTATAATATAGCATATAGTGTAGAAGTGGAGATCTGAAAAATGCTTTCTCTTTGAATGTTGAATGGATGCGGGCACCAAAACTTCCATGCACTTTAAAATCCCCTTGCAAGTATTGAGGGTCGAATCATCAGCTCCTTTCATAGTGAAGTGATAATTTTTTCCTCAGTAGATGAGAACTTGAGTATCTTTCAGAGATAGGAGGAAAGAATAATTTCTGAGTATAATTGTGTAAATAAACTTCTTAGTTTCACAGTATCTTTAAATATTTACTGAAATGCTTAAAACTCATGTTACCAGATGGTTTTAAGAGGAATATTTATAAGTAACAGGTGATAAAAGATGGCTTTGTCTTGGGAAGTCAGTGAATCAGTAGCTGAGGAGGAATTTGAATGGGCCCTATCTGTGCTCTCTTAGCTGTGGCCTGAGAGCTCGCTGCTCAATACAGACCACGGGGTGCTGGGAACCAGGCGTTTCTGTGCAGAAACAGCCCCCACTCGCATCCCTGATCACCAGTGTGGAAGTGATAAGAGTAGGAGGATTCACTTCCACAGGAAAGTTTTACTTGGGAAAATATTGCTACAGGTAAAGTTTATTTCTTATAGTATACATCCTGGTGCTATCCATTGGCTGCATTTTCCCCTAGTGATCAGAATGTTTCCTTTCTGTGATTACTAGCAGACTGGGAAGCTTATATTTCTTAATGATAAGACATTTATACCAGATGAGATATTTACAAGGTTCCAAACTTCAATCCAAGCTTGAAACTTGCATGTGCAAGATAAGCTCTGTTTTTCTAATTTGAACCCTGAATAATATGAATAGAAGCAAGATCTTTTTCTTTACAACATTTTCAATATCTCATAATATCTCATTGCAATTTATCAGAGTATTGTTATTTATGCTATAGTCTGTAATATTACTTGATTTTTAAATATAGAAATACTTATTACATTGATCTTCAAAAAGTATTAATATATCTATGACCACCATGGACAGCAGGAGCCACATATATTATTTTAATATGCTGTTAACTTTTACAATCAAATTTTAATTTTTGCAGTGCTGGGGATTGAACCCAAGCCCTCTGCATGCCAGGCAAGCATCTGTATCCCTAAGCTGCACCACCTACCACATAGAATATTAAAAAAACAAAACAAAACAAAGCTGTTCTAAATTACTGGCTAAAAGAATAAGGGGTACCCAGCCATCCCTCTGCTGGGTATCCTTCCAAGAGAACTAAAAGAATCATATCACAGAGAAGTATGTGCACCCATGTTTATAGCAGCACAGTTTGTAATAGCTAAAACTTGGAAACAACCTATTTGCCCATCCGTTGGAAACTGGATAAAGAAGTTGTGGTTTTTCTATAAAATGGAATATTACTCAGCCATAAAGAGCGAGAGAATAGATTCATTCATAGGAAAATGGATACATATTGAAGATATACTCCTAAGTGAAATAAATAAGTCACACATGTGTAAATACCAAATAGTTTCCCTGGTGTGAATATTCTGCAACAATGCATAAGATTCTAATAAGATTACTGACATTTAGAAATTTGAAGAAAAGAGCTAAAGGTGTAGGGAAGGTGTGATGCGTAGGGGAAGAACAAAAAGGGAAAAGAAAAAAATGTGAGATAATGAAAAGATGAAAATAAAGTGTTTGTAGATGGGGAGGGGAGGAGGGGGTGAAGGGAGGGCAGAGGTAAGGGGAAAAAATGAGAATCAAGACTTGTCATGTAGAGGTACAAGATCCCAACAATGAATGTAACTGTACTGTATCCCTAAAATGTACCAATAAACTCAATAAAATTAAAAAAAAAAGAATAAGGGGTATTAGTGGATTCAACTTAGAACTGGAATGGACCCCACTCACACTCCAAGCCTTTCAATTCCACACTTTGAAATTTCAACTGTTTATTTCTAGATAATTAGAGGCACACAATTGTTGCAGCATTTATACAGGAAGAAGATATCCGGAAGAAAAACATATGTTTCCTACAGTTATTTAGGCCAAGCACACTTTTCTAGATCTGAAAGATGCCATCACATCCCAAATTGGATACTGAGAAACCAAACAGATAAAAAAATAGAACCTGAGGCTGCACTCCTCCACATTCCTTGTATTCTCTGGTCCTTACAGAATGAGAATTCTGCATGCAATGTTTTCCTGAAGAAATAAAACCATAATTTGAAACTAGAGATATGTTTCCCATTTACAAGCTTATGATAAAAGCAATAAAGACTTTTGTGATGAGCCCACAGGAAGTGACATAGACTTTATATGACTTTCAACTATGTGCAACCCTTTCAGGCACCTGAAGTTCACACCCAGATGAGGAGGAGCATCCACTGATATTTACGAGAGCACCCACTGGCCTGTCTGGAAAAAGCAAAAAGGGCTACAAAAACTCCTACATTTCTCACTGGGTGGCAGTTCATTCTGAGCCACTTGTAAGTGCTTTCCTTAAAAAATTAGATTATAGGCGGTAATTTTTCTTAAGTATTGTAAAATAAACTTTTTCATAAACACTAGATGTCATATAAAGGTACAAGATCCCAATGATGACTGTAACAGTATTGTATATCTAAAGTGTACCAATAAACTTAATTAAGATAAAAAACAAATGTAATGAACGTCTCAAATGCATATCGCCACCACAGATAAAAGTAGACTTGGAGTTTTTCATTCACAAACATATTCAGTTGGTTTGCACTGTTTGTAGCAATAGGGTTATATCTTTTGATTTGTCAGACGTTGGTTAGGATTAGTCAAAAGCTCACAAAATTGCTAAATATATCTAATATCAGCTTTATTGTAGTTTGGCATCACAATATAGCTGTAAAATTTAAAAGCTATTATTGGAAATAAGATTAAATATTATTTTATAAATAATCTTCCCCTAAGTAGTAAGAGTATAGTAATTTATTATATTGGCAACTTGGAAAAGGGTTTCTGCAGAGAACACGACTAGTTTCACTGGTCACTGTAGAAGTCTAGATTTGCTGTGGCATTTGATTAGTCCAAATTTTCACTTTTGTGTATCACTATGGGTAATTGCATATGTTCTGCAGTTAAAATATCATGTCCAAATGACCTAGGACTAAATATGATGCCTGTGGAGCAATAAAAATTTAAAGAAAATAAAAGTAATTCTAAATAGAATTAATATATGGTAAGTGAATAGGAAAACAGTAGCACAAAAAAACCCCATAATCATTGTAGTGAAAATAATTTAATGAAACTTAAAAATATCCATCCTCTAGCAATTTTTCTGGGTAAGTTGGGATTTCAATATTTTATCATTTTGCTTGTTGCAGGAAAAGGCATGTTTCGGTTCCCCCCCCGCCCCCCCCCGCCTTCAAAAGTAAACATGCTCTTTCGCCATCTGGTGGCTAAAAGAAATATTGCCAATGTAGATGAAAAGAGCTGAACAGCCAATTATGTTGAATTTTTTTTATTCGTCTTCTGAAAAAGATATGCATATTTATCTAACCTATGTAAATATAACTCAGGCAATTTTGTTCTAATGGTTCATGTCATTTTATTCAAATAACTCTAGCTATAATATTTAATGTAGGATAAAAAATATTAACCAGAACAATTCTTTTAAAGGATCATTTTCTGTCCTATTCATTTTGAAAGGCAAATTAAATAGGGCAGTAACAATTTGTTTGACCTGAATGCTTTTTGATATAAAGAATTAAGATCTTTATGAAAGCCAAGAGGTTCAAAATATAATTTTAAATAAGAGTAACAGAAGCCATTAATTTCAGGTTTTAGTTTTTACTGTTTCGACAATAGTTATAACCATATAATGAGAATTCACCATACCAAAAATAAGAGTACATAATCTAACAGTATATGGTTCATTTTCTTTTTCTTACTAAGATGTTCAATGAATTCATACACCTTACATATATATAAACTACTTCATTTCATTACTAAATTAAAAATGACAATTTGATTTCATTTTAATTTCTTTATTTTTTCCAGAATATTTTAATATTGTAACCCAAATTGCTACTTTGAGAAAGGGAAAAAAAACAGAGAAACATGAGGAGATAAACATTTAATTTCATTTAACTTATGGTATTGTGAGCAGTCACTTTTGTAGGCAACACTTTTTTTCTTTGTAGAAAAGAAGAAATTGAAAAAAAAACAAAACAGCACCATTAAAGAATATATGATCCCTGAATTCTAAACAAAGCACTGTCTAAAAAAATTTTTTTAAATGCTTGTTGCACGCAGTCACATTTAGTCAGGTATCAAAGCAAGCATAACAGTATTAATTTGTAGCAGTCTGAGTGAATCAACTGCTCCCCCTTCTGAGGATTTTACACACCTTTCAGAGTTTTTCCTGTGGGAATAATATATTCTTTGGTAGAGGACTGAAGGAGGGTTTTACTTTTCTGTATGCTGATACAAAACGTCTATGTATGTTCAGGGCCTCTGCCCTCACTCTTGTTTGCCATGCATGCTATGTTTGGGTTGATTTCACATTTCGCTGTTACACTGTAGGAGTAATTCTGCCTTTAAAAAAAAAGGCATTAAATGGCTAATGTCAAACAGATGTAAACATTCAGAATACTGACCCAAAAGAAAAAAAACACAAACAAACACTTTAAAACAACAACAACAACTGTACTGAAAGTATGAATCAGATTAGGTTTCCATGAAGTTGGGGGAAAATACAGCAGTACAAGAAAATTATGGCAACCAAGTAAAGCACTTTCTTCGAAACATTCATGAACAGTACAAATACAACAAAGTTTTCTAGTCTAAATTATTCTGCAACTATCAAATATAGTACAAAGCAATATAGTATGTGCTATAAAAAAGCAGCTCCTTTAAATTATATTAAAAATGCTTTTTGTTTGCTTTACAGTGACAAAGCATGATGACTGAAGACAACAGGATTTTTATATTCAGTAACATTTTGGCTACACAGGCCCCTGACAGTCTGCTGAGTTCCTGTTCTAGGACTCTTCACATTGTTCTCTGGGAACACGGCTGGACAGCGAGGCTGAGCTCTGCACGGTCAGCGGAGGTCACTCCCCCAGGTGGCCACTGCCGTGCTGGGCTGCAGCACCATAGAGACCCCTCAACTGGGCTTCAGCTGCTAAAACCTGGGACTTCACCATACCCCTGAGAAGCCCAGGAAACCAGAGGCCACAACAACTTTCTTTTCTGAAATTGTGCGAGTGCTTGCAAAGTAAATGGGGCTGCAGCAACTTGGATTTTGACTGTCAATTGCATTATAAAGCACCATGCCACCAGCTCCTCTCTGTACGTTTATTTTGAACTGAGTAAGAATATCCAAGGTCCAGAAGTCAATTACACATCCTATATCTCATCCCAGAAACACACACCATCACAAAATCTTTATAGCAACCAGGCTCAACCTTATAGGTTTGTTTTCAAGTTTTTCTTCAAACTAGATCTTAACAGGGAATATATATAACTATGGTGCTCAATTCACCAAAACTTCTGCTATCCTCACTTTGGGGAAGGAAAAATATTTTCATTTTGAAAATGAATTTGCATCAGAATTCTCTTATTAACATGCCCATTAACTACCTAAATGTCTTTATACACCTCAGGCATATGCATATCATACAGGAGGGGGATTAGGGAATAATAGCAGTTTTCTTCCTTACCCTGCTCCAAAAGTGCTGCTTAGGGAAATACATCCTTTGTGATTTAAAGAAAAATATGTTAAATGTGCAAGTCCTATTCCTGATAGGGATATAATAGTGTCCAATAATCAGGATAATGCACACACTGAAATTTGCACATTACACCACAATAACCAAGTAGGAAATTACATACTCTATTTGTACATAGGCAGACACATGTAGAAATTAGGAAACTAAGAACCTACTTACCTAATTCAAATATACTGGCTCTTGTATATATAAAATGGAGACTTATAACATAACTCACTCACATTTTACTTCTGAATTTTTTTTCTCTCATTATTTTCAGCTCAAAGATATTAATTTTTTCAGTGATAGGAACCATATGAGAACACTAGAAATTTGAACTGGGGTGAAAAGAGCAGGGGCACAGAAAAGTTATGCTCTTTGGACCTGGGCAATAGAATCCATGCACTACCAACCACTGATTCTCCAAACCTGTTATGTGAAAAAATTCAAACATATAGAAGGACACTTTACGTATTCCCAATAAGAAACTTGCAGGCAATATTCAACAGTGACGGAGCTGACAATGAGCTCGGGATCATGTCAACCTCAATTGTACCTCACATAGAGTGCAAAGGTTTTGTAGGCTGGAGTTTCTTTCAGAACGTGTCAGTTACTGATGTAGTTTTCAATCTGCTGGTGTAGACAGTATCTGACATTGTATAGCAGTGACTCAATTTGGAAGAAGTTGACATGCAACTGTTTATATTACAGGGGTGGCCCCGCTGTGAGGCTAAGAGCATGATCTTCGAGATCAAGATGATATCAGAGTCAAGCAGACCATAAAGACATCACTGATAAGGACACCATCCAAATGCAACCTGGTGTGCAGTTGGATCCGCTGGCACTTACACTGCATTCCTTGGGAAGAGCTGGTTAAGTGTGTTGCTAACTTTCTCATTTGTTAATTTGAATGCAAAAAAGCAGAAGTAACATTACTGAAGCACCACCAAATCACGGCCACAGGGTAAGTCTTTCTTTGCTGTTAAGATACACTACCTTTCACTATCAACAACTTGTTATTAAAAATGACATCACTGTCACCTAAAGAAATCTGGCAACATCACAACAATATGAAAGAAAAAATACCATAGTAGATCATCAGTTAAAAATTGCAAGCGTTGTTTCTTTCACGAATGTAATTTCTGCTCGTTCCAGTTAATTTTTAAGACATGTTATCAGGGAATGTCAAAAAGTTTACATTGATTCAAGTGTCGCATGTGAAAGTGTCTGTCATTCTTACCCTGGATAGAGATGATACTCCCCCATCTTTTTTGTTTTTAATTCTACAGCCATAATCAATCAACCGGTTAATGGCACTCCATGTTTTGTGCTCTGTAATCTGAAGTTAAATGGGTGTGGTTTTTGCTTTCTTTTACCTTCTCACAATATTTCTGTGCTTTTGAACTTGCTTTTGGGAACAGAGACTCCTGAACTACAGCCGTTCTCCAGGATGAGGGTGGCCAGAACATAGGGAATGTAGCTCAAATACTTGACACTCAAACCACACTGGATAAACACTGATGATAATTTTAAGATGCAGTATCCCTTTTCTGAGAGCAGTACCACTCCCCCATCTTTAAAGAGAGGGGGGGCAAAGCAAAACATGCAATAGTAGAGCATTTAAAAAAATAAGGGCTAGAATCATGGACAATCACAAGGAAAAGGATGTTCTGAAAAGCATTACACTTCAGCCTTCTGTAGTCCCTTTTATCAACGTCACTTGTAAAACGAGATGGCCAACTTTTGCATAGGTGGAGGCCACAAGCGGTGGTGTCATTAATAAGGGTTACTATTATTTCTCCTGAATAGTTATTGAATTAATGAATAGAATGACTAATATTTACATTATTAAACCTTTATGCATGCATATACAGCATTTTGTTTGCCTTCAATTACAGGGCATTTTTCTTTCATACTGGCTCTTAAATGCCACACATGAAGCTCTAAAATCCTCTGGGCCTTCAGCTCTCTGTTGGCCAATGGATCATACACTGCCAGGTGTCCATGGGCTTGATCCAGGCTACTGGACCCGAGGCCCATTCTGCAGTTTTAGGTGCGGGACACATATCACGATAATCTGTGTACAAAATCCAAGGCAGATCCAGATTTTCTGCCATAGTCTTTGAGAAAGAATAAGAAGGGAGGAAAGAGAACCGGGACAGTGGATTCATTAATGGCATATCTCCTTTAATGTATCTTCTGTGATATGAGTAAACACAGGAATCAGATTCCTTATTCCAAATACAACTAGTCATTTTGGAAAAGGTGGGTCTAGAAAAGTCATGTATAGAGACATCTGCTGTAATCACTAATCTATAGCAAAAGGCATGACCAACTGAACTCACTATTATCATTCTCTTTCTACAGTTGCATTTGTGGTGATTCAGCAATTAAAAATGTCATTTTCCTATCTACACCTGGCTTAAAAGGGAGGGGGCGCGGGGCAGTGACCTGTATACACAGACCGAAACACTTCAGAGCTGGGAATGGCAACTAAACATGTGAAAGACACCGCTGAGCCATTCAGTAGGGAAGCATCCGCTACTTTATGAGAAATGCAAGAAAATAATAATCCTATAGAGAAAAGAATCTGTTCCAGAGCAAAATAAGTTAGCACATAAGCTACTGCATTATTCAATTTGCTGTTGCTGATGCTGTTTGGCTTTTCCAGGTTGAAAGGGATACTGCATCTTTCACTGTGCTCTTATCGCACCACCAGGCAGGCTACACAGAGTTTGGAAGGACCTATGCAGTCGTCGTGGCAGAAGGCCCCACAGCCTTTGCACACAATCATGGCTTTCAGCCGGCAAGAGCATTTCAGTTCCAACTCATCCGCATTGCTGCTGTCGGCAAAGTTCTGAACAGGCATCTGAGCGCTCTGACCGGGCAGGCCTGTGGCAGGACTAGAACCACTTCCCAAAATCCCAATGGACTTTTCTATTGCAGACGCTGCTCTTTTGAAGCTCGTGCTACCGAAGTGTATTGTTGGATAATTTCCGCAGAGCTGCTGTTGTTGCTGCACCTGCATTTTCTGAGCAGCTAACTGAGCAAAAGGCTTCTGCGGCTCAGAAAGCAGATAGGAAGAGAAATCTGCATTTTTTAGCGCAAATGCTTTTAACTGTTCTTTCATTTCATTCTGGTCATAGGAAACTTGTTTCATGCCCAGTTCGCAGCTGCTGCTTAAACCTTCCTCAAAAGAAAGAGGTTCCGATTTTATATTGCTACATATGCCCGTGGACTGTGGCCAACTAAGTCTCTTAGTGGTTTCCATGGTAACTGGCGGTTGCTTTTGATCGGATGGGACGTCTGCACTGGGGAGAGGTGGAGGTAGTGGAGGTGGAGGTGGCGGTGGTGGTGGAGGAGGTGGGGGCAAGGCCAAGGGTGG